ATTTGTATAATAAATAATGTAAAAGGTAATATTTGCAAAATTTAAATTATAATGACAAATTTTTAACCATATATTAATATATTATGATAATCTACATATTAAGTTACTTAATTTAATCAATAAAGGTAATATAAATATTAAAGTATGTACTATCATTATTGAAAATCAAGTTTTTAAAGGACATTTTTCACCGTTTTTTTTTTGAAGGGGGAGAGTAAAGAAAGAACAGGTTCCATGTGTATAACCTAGAACTGACCCCGGAACCATCAAGACTAGAACCGACCTTCACAGAGTAGGTTCCAATTCCAAAAGCCTAGAACCGACCCCTATAGAGTAGATACAGGTTTTGCCATGGAATCGAACTGAACCAAACTATGCTCACCCCTAAACCTGACCTATTGATCACAATCCTAGTTGTAAGAGCATAGATATTCAGGTGGCCATAGACCCAGTTTAGTTTAACCCACATGGGCTCAAAGGCCGAGTCAACCCAGCCCAACAACCAACCTGGTTTATTTAACAGTAATTAGAGAAAATTGTGGCATTTTAAAAATAAGCTAGCGGTCAACAACTGGCTACTTTGGATGACATGGCACGGAAGGTTCTAGAGACCTCTACATGAACAAATAGAAAAGCATAAATAGCTGCCATCACCAACATTCGGGGGACTCTCTCCCTCTCAAACTCTCTCTCTTCTAGATTTCAAATCACTGGCTTATGGTGACTTGAACTATGATGGTTTTATCCCTCGCTAAAGGGTAAGTAGTGCAGTCTCTCCAAGGGTCTGGCCACTTCTTAGTTTCCTCACTTATTTCTAATTAGACCATAGGAATTGACCACAATTGCAAAATCTAAGGAGCTTACACCTATCAAGAGTTTAATGCCATTCAAGAATAACTCTTGATGGTTTATGTTCTTCAAAATGAGAAGCAGATTCGGTTGTTGAATGGTTTTTCAAGGGGACAACAAGTTGTTTATTAAAATATCAAAAAGAGATAGGATATACAACGCTAGCTGCAAAGTAAAGGATTCGATTGTTGAATGTTATCACTTAAATATTTTGTTTTTATTTTGTCTTTTTCTACAGCATGTAAAAAGTAACCATTTTGTAAACCTGGGTTAGTTGTAAAAGTGTACAGAAGAAGCTTCCATTTGGCTTGCTCAAAAAGCTATCTTCAACCAAAAATTGTATGAAGAAGATTTTCAGCCCTTCTCTTACTCTATTTTTCACTCTCTGCTTTACTTCGATTTATTGCATGTAAGTCCTCTGTTCTAGAACATTTTTCTCCACTTTGCATGCACCCACAATTAGCTGAAACTATAGCCAACACCTAACAGTTGGATTTTCAATGTAGTGGGGAGTCGCATTAATGTAAAAATAAAGTCATTCTTTCCTCCATTTAGATCAACATATAATAGTATTTCTTAAGAATTTGAAATTATTTTGTTAAAAGGAGATCTAAGCTAAGAAGAAACTCTAGGAGAAGCAAAGCTCATATGATTTATAGAATTACTTATAGGAGGGTGTAATAGGGACATTGGCCATCTCCACATGTTTCAGTTTATAAGGAAAGAGGCAATATATAGGGTGAGAGTTAGTTATTACTATTATACTGCAAATAGGGACATTGTTATTACTTTATTAATAACATATTGAACTTTTAATTCTTTATTAAGGTCTTTTGATCGTTTTATCAGTTGTAGTGAACTTTGCTAAGTAGACCATATGGAAACTTTTAAATGTCTTTGACCATAATTGATTTTTATTTCAAATTCAGTTTCTTTGAATGCATGAAGAGTCAGTTCAATCTCTTATGCATCCGTATGTGTGTGTCGTGTGTCTGCATATATTGTGATGCATATGGAGAGAATAAAGAATTAGGTCTAGTATATATAGCCATATATATTCAGTATGATACAATGGAAAAGGAAATTCAAAGTAGGCATGATATATCATCTTGTGTTTTCATCAAGTACTAGACCTTGATTTCTACAGAATTATATTAGTGTCATAGAAAAGAGAGATCTACTATTTCTCACGACTTTTAAGATAGCTAGCCATAAGATTTATGTGGCTAGTGTGTCTTTATATCCAAATCTGAAGATTATGGCCAAAAGCAATGAGAGATCATTGCAGCATTTGAATATAAATACTAGAGTGGCTCCACGTTCCCCTTGTTCTGATAAGAACAATAACAGACTTCAACAAGACGTAAAACAAGAACGGGAATATATTATAGTAAAGCTTACGTTAACCCTAATACTTGTAGCTAGGTCATATGTAACCAAGCACAGGAATTATCAGATCACGAGTAAAAGAAAGGAGAAAAGGAAAACCCACTTGCCATAAAATATGTTTAGTGGTGCTTTTCATCAAGTGAATTAACTCAAGTCCAACATGAGAACAACAGTGTTAATTACCTTCATTAAAAGAAAAAAATGATTAGAGAGAACCATTACACAGTACTATTAATTACTTCCATGCATAAAAATGAATCTCTCTTATTGCATTCTTTCTCTCCTCAAAAGGTGTGAGCAGATCTTTCAGACCTCACCGGAGAAAGCCAAGCTTCATTTGCTTGCCAAGAAGCCTCAAAACCTACCCTAAAAACACAAGAAAGATGAACACTATAGGCCCAAGAGGACCTCCCCAAGACCGACCGAGCTTCTTCGTAACTCAGAAACCTGAGGTGACAAGAGCCCATTCTTCTTCCCTAGAATGCTGTGACACAGTCCCTTCCTATATATACGGTTGGGTTAGAAGCTTTTTGTTTCAGAGAGATTGACTGGATAACCCGACACAACACTATTTGCCCGTGAAAGATTCCAAACAGATGAAGGTTGTAAGGAGAGGGTCCTACATAAAGATAGCTTCCCAAGACTGAAAGCTCTTACGTCTAAGTTGGTTGTAACGACCCCAGAAGAGACCTGCTTGGCCAAGCCACTCTATCTAGCAGACATGCACGCGCCGGGCCTACGCAGCTGAGGGAGCTTTTAGACCAGATGGAGGAATTTGTAACAGAGATGAGACCTTTTTTACCTACTAAAACGACTGGTTTGCTTTAGAGAGAAGTATGCAAATGACTCTACCAGTCTGCCTATCGTTGCTGGTATATATAGTTTGGTCGTGAACAAGCAGTTTGATGCTTCTCAAAGTAAGATGGTATGACCTTACTTTGAGAAGTGGATCAGTGGAGTAGCTATAGATGCTTATTATCTTTCCTTGTCAGGGATAAAGATGAGAGAAGGGAAGAATCCTTAAAAAGGAATGCTTTCTTTTCATGGCTATCTTTTACTGGGACAGTATTCTTCAAATATGCTGCTAATTTCTAGAATAGAGAGAGAGAGGTCTCTCTCTCTCTCTCCATTTCTAAGGATTCCTCCTATAGAGGGCACTGATTGGATTTAAATTTGATTAGCATATTAAAAAGGGTAAAGACAAGCTGAAAGTTTTGTAGGAAAGTGATAGACAACAGGAAAAACGAATCATTTTCGTAATTTTCCTTGTGTTTGATTCCTTGGAAAATAAAATGGAATAAGTGAGATGGGAGAAACATATGGGTCTTGTCAGATTTAATTTGAATAGAGAGGACAAACTTTGGAAAATTAGAAGGAATGCTATCTTTTTGCAACTTTTACCCACTTTTTTCCTTGGCCATTTCAGTGTAACCAGACACTCGAAATAGAAATTTTCTTCAATCATTCATTTTTCTTTTATCTTATTTGCAACCAGCAAATAGCGCCTTTAAGTAAAATACAAAAGGATCGCCTCCCCTCTGAACACTTTCACCTCATATATAAGCTATGGGTCCTGATCATGTCGCACTAAAGACCAAATATCAGAGAGAGAGAGAGAGAGAGAGAGAGGGTTCAGACTTCACAGCTTGGATCGAAGCTTTTATACGGACTAGCCATGAGAATTAATTTCCGTTATAACGGCCACCTAGTAGCTCTATGGATTTACTTATAGCTAAAATGTCAATAATAGCTTAATATCTGAGTCCATGGATGAGTGACAGAATATATATTAGATTAGTTCATCATATGCCGTACTACCGTTACAGCTCCGTTATTATAGTTTTTAATGGTCTGTTTGAGCTTTGGAATGAATTTTTATAGAGAAACGTACCAGTCCTACTGCGTCATGTTGATCTGAAACTATGCTTGCTGTGTTATTGTCCAACCTCCTACTTCCTTCTAGCTCTGCTGTTAAGCCTCTACAGTCAGCCATTGACATTCTGTGTCCGCTTTTGTACCAAACACTTGGCGGGCAAATTTGACTCTCTTCTTCACTCTTGGCATTCTTTGCACTTGGCAGAAAATTAGAACCCAGTTGTAATGGCGTTTTCAAGTGACCCCCCCCCCCCCCCAGACCCCATGTCTGCATTTCATCGATCTCTGAGTCTCTGCTCCATGAAAGCTCAAAACAGCCTCGTAGCATAACTGGAAAGAAGAAAGATACCAAAAAAAAAAAAAGTTATATATGAAGAGTGAAATTAAACAGACTGACTGTTATATTGAGCTTCAAGTCATTCAGCAACCATCAAAGAAGAATTACTGCTGCTTCCACTCCATGTGTTCTCAGAGCCAACAAACTTTCTTCTCTTGGATCCACACAGACTTTGCTTGCTTCTGATGATCAACTTTGAAACGCAAGCAAAACCAACTTTTCCTCTCACTCTCTCGACTTCCAAATTCCAACTTTGAGCATAGACTTTGACTTATAACTCAGTCCATGCACCCTCTGTCAGTTCGCCTGTCTGAAGTTTCAATTTCTCCTTCCTTGTATTCTCTGCTCAGTTTCTTTCCTCAGCAGACCAGCAGTAGCAGCAGCAGCAGAAGTTAAGAGGTCTCTTTCTTTCTCTTTCAGTCTCTCTACATCCATTACTTAATTTTCTTTTCCTCACGACCCATAACCATCGATTTCCTTAATTTTTTTCCTCGCTTCCAAGCTTTGTCTGATCGCCATCACTTCAAGAAATCGATCATCACTTCCTTCGAGTCAACAAGGACAAAGGTGGGCATCCAAACCAGGGGACAGAAACCTCGTTATTGTCTGTTGCTTTCTTCCTTTTCTTCTCATGCAAACATGGTTTCCTTCCTCTTCTCCCATTACTTCATCTCTCTCTGTAATATTAAAATTAAATTCTTGTTTCTCCACTAATGTAATCCTCTCAAAAATCTCAATTCCTTTATCCCATGTTCTCTTTGTTTATTCCTGAATTCCGTTTCCCAACAAGATTTTTTGTGATTATACCCACAAAAATCTTTATCTTCCCCACTTAATTTCCATAATTAAACTTTAATGCCCAGATTTCCATAAACCATCCATCCTGCTGTGTGCTGTCTCAAGTGAGACAATAAATGAAAAATAACATCATTTATTAAAATTTACTCTGAAATCCCAAAAACAACAATGGCGCCATTTATTAGGATTAGAACAAGATAGAATCCTCATCAATACTTGATTTAATAAATATTAAAAATTAATTTTCTTGCTTTATGCCATTTATTTCTAATAACAATCCTGTCGTTATCAAGCTGACAAGTGTGTTGGAGGGCTGGCCCCATGTCTCATTCCAATGGGAGCGTCTGGTGTCTCCTCTCCATCATTGATGCATCCATGTGCATGTCGTCATGCCATCTGGATGCTCATGCATACATGGATCCATGCATGCGTGACATAAAAAATCTTTCTCATATTAAAAGGAATTAAAAAGAAAAATCTCTGGTCACAGCTTATCAACTTACCCCAGTAATCTATTAGTATATTTTAGTATTTTTTTTTTCTGTATATTCTCTCTCTCCTCTCTCTCCTCTCTCTCATACGTCGCTTTCTGTCATAAATAGGGAACGGAGAGCTGAGGGGTGAGAAACACCGAACCCAAGCGGCAAGCGAGCGAGCGGGAAAAATATGGAAAAGCGACCAAAAAGCGATCTCTCGCCTCTCAATTTCTCCATTCTAAATCCGACGTCGACGTCGTGCGACACCACCTCCGGCACCATCATCGCCACCCACGACTAGTTTTTCTTCTTTCTTCGTTGTTGAAGTGTTTATTCTTTTTTGTTGTATCTGTTGTTGTTTTTCTCTCTCTTTGCTTGTCTGCAGGAGAAACTAAAAGCATGGCGTTTGGGGGCTTCTCGATCCGGTACGTATGGATGGCTCTTGTGAAGAATTCTGGTTTTTGTTTCGAGTATGGTTGGATTCGTGATTTGGGTTCGTGATTTGATGTTTCAGAGAGTATACCTTGAAGATGAGAAGCATTGACGTGACGAAGTGCTGGCCGTTCGGTGGAGATGGAAAGGAGAAGACGGCGAAAGAAGAGATGGAGAAACTGCTTCCGCCGTTAACGTATAGGAAATATCGTTGGTGGTCGGACGAGCTTGAGTTGGTGAGATCTAAGCAAGTTGCTGAGGGCAGCAGGAAGGTTCGAGAAGAAACCGAGAAACCGGTTTCCGGCGCTGAAAGCGGTTTTGTGTCGGAGAGACCGGATTTGGGGGCTGGAAAAGCGGGTTGGGGAGCTGAGGAGGAGAAATTGCTGATGATTTGTCCGGTTTGTCGTAGTTTTACTGCGGCGACGGTGAATGCGGTGAACGCCCACATCGATAGTTGTCTTGCTCAGGCGTCGAGGGAAGAGCGTAGGCAGATGAGAACGGCGGCTGCAGCTGCGGCGGCAGTGAAGTCGAAGACGAGAGCGCCGAAGAAGAGATCTATTGTGGAGATCTTTGCCGTTGCCCCGCAGATAAAAAAGGCGGAGGTTGATGGCGATGGAGAAGCGGAAGAGATGTCTGAAGAGGATTTGGATTCTACGAAATATGTGGAAGCATCGGATACCGTTGTGAAGCGTAAGCGAAAGCACAAGTCAAGAGAGGAAGCAGTGGCTCTTGCGAGGAAGCTGAAGTTGAAGAAGAAGAAGATGAAGAAAAAGAAGATAAAGAAGACCAAGAAGAATGACTCCGGAGCTATTGATCCAACGAAGAAGGCACGGCTGGCATCGAAGAAGGTCTGTGATTTCTCTAAAGCTTTCCTGATTTCTTTTCTCTTTCATTTTGGTTTGTTGGTTGCTTGATTGTTGCAGTACTTTCGTGGTTGGAAGTTGGATTAGATACCCATTATTTTTCTTCTTTTTAATCTTGTCAGCTGTCTTGTTTCCACTCACTTTCTGCTCAAAATTTATTACTGCCAAAATGTTTTGGACTCTTCTTCGAGCTTGAAGATGAAAAGCAATGCGTTGTTCTTGTATTTGCTCCTGTGAATTGAACTACTGCTAGGAGGAGGAGGAGCTTCAGTGCAAAGGGAAAAGTTAAAAAAACGAGAGATGGGGTTCCATGTTATGGGGATTTTGAGCACTTCTGGAGTGATGTGTGCTGCTCCAGCTGTCTGTACGGGTTGGGCAGCAATGGCTTTTATAGTTTAGCCAAAAAAGAAGTCCTTGTGTGTGATAGAATATATATGATGGCAGTCTTACTGTTTAGGGGCAGTTGGGTTTCGATCGGAGGGCTGGTTTTTGATCGTCTTTTGCTTTCCAAACGTTTAATGGCATGGACTGATGATCCGTGAAAGCGAGGCAGACCTTAGAGATGTCACTATATATTCTGGGTTTTCTTGGTTCTTTTGTATTATATAACCCCATCGATATCACATGAGCAATTTGTGCTCAGAACATGAAATATAGATACGGTTTGTACAGATATCTACTGGAACAGGCAAAAGCCGCATTCTATCGCAATCTTCTTGTTTTTTGTCGATTTGGGAAGCGACTCATTTGAAGTGGAATCGTTTGTATGGACTTTATTGAGCCTTATTCTTGGGGGTGGTTGGAGTTTGCATTCTGAGTTGCAGTTTGTCTGAGCTCTAAGAAAGAACTTTCAATTATGCATCTTGGCTGCTGTGGGATGTTAAGGGTTGAAACATCTATTGTTGTTAACTGTGTCGTGAGATAGGAGGATGCTTATAGCTTTTATGCTGTTACTGGGGTTGGAAATATTTGTTTGATCATGTTGCTTGTTCTTTACTTCTTTGGTTTTGATATCTTTAAAACTTTGTTCTTTGGTTCTTCTGTTTATAATTTGGCCTTTTATGAAGTGTTGCGTTTTTTGCATAAGGCTGTTGGTAATTTGTGGATGAAAAGTACAAACTAGAAGGTGCGGTGAGTTTGGTTTAGCATTATGTTTCTCTTTGGTATTCTTTGTTGTGTACGCCATTTATGATATTTTGGATGTGAAAATGATCATAATTATGTACTTTGAAGAACCCATGATATAGTTTCATTAGATAGTGAAATACATGGCTGATGTACAAGAACCAAGTAAGTCTATATATGCATTTATAGTATCATTTGACCCTTTAATTGTTATGCACAAGTTGTCTGATAAAGTAGGACCAACAATCCTGTATCAGTATTTCTAAAGATCATATACTGTGCAATATATACACAATTATCAAGTAAATAAGCAAGAAAATTCTATATCTACTACTATATTATTATTTATAAGCATTAGAAGTTAAGCAACAAGATGATATAGTTATTTGTAAGCATTGGAAAAGTTCACTTACAAAATAATGTAGTGGCAAACCCCAAATGCAATAATGTAAGACGATATATCATATGAATGATTAAAAGGACTTACCTGAGTGAGTGTTGCATATGTCAACTTCAAACTTGTCTGCACTAGGTATCCAAGCTTCAAATTTTGGCATTTTGAAGATGTAAGAGCCAAGAATCATGTAATGTCATGCTAGGTTACATACTGTATGCGGACAAAAAAAAAGGTCACAACAAGTTTCAAAAGTTTCATCAGAAAATTCTTTTTGTTGCATCCTTGACTGCTAAGCAAGAATTCACGACAAAAACTTCTTAGTTCAATATTGTGGTTAATATTAGTATCGGTTTAATTACCAGTAAAAGTTTATTGAGGCCTCAAAAGACTGTGTGGTTGTAGCATCAAATGCTCAATGATTTCTCCCCTCCTTAATAGCTTCAAGGATCTTTCCAGTTGTTATTTTCTGCTGCTCATTCTAAGTGCATATTCTTCTTCTGTTTCTTGAAAGGTTTATCATTCCATGTTGTTGAGATCTCCTTTACCTATAAACTTATTAAACTAAAAGCAAGTTGGACTGAGAAACTTGGATTTAAGATTTATTCTCCTTATCCTTCTTGTCCAATTACATGAAATACAATATCTCTAAAGAATCTTTCTGATTTTATTTTTATTTTATTGTTTCAGTTCATCCTTGTACATATTGTCAAGGTTATGCAGACACGGCCAACTTGATAGAAATTCTTCTACGTGAAATAATTTGTTTATATACTTGATGGTAAATGTATGGAAACCTATAAGGATATGATAAAAAATGAAGAAACCACAGTGGCATTCTGGAAACTATAGAAAGCATAGGAAACATGCTTAGATACTTTAGAAAATGATAATATGAGCATTCTTCTTTTTTTTTTCTTCAATATCTTACTCCTTTTTCAAAAAAAAAAAAAGATAAGATAATATGAGGATACTTATACACTAAATACCAATTCTTTATCCACATAATAACCATCTAAAACTGGAAAACATGAAACAAAAGATATACAATGTTTGATGGTTTGATATATAGGAAATGGTCTGCAGGTATTTCTGTAGTACCTAACAGCATGATAAGGTTGTGTAGTAACAACTGATGAGATTTACCACCATATAACCCTTAAGTCATCATCTCCAAAACATTTCCAGATGTATAATTAAATTTTTGCTCAGATCACATGCAATATGACAGACCATTCATATAGCTACCATCTCAATCCAGTGGCCACAAATTTGTACCTTCTATCTCCTGTGGGTATCAATAGCTCACTATGACTTTTTCCCTACAATTAAATGGTCAAATTTGATATGGCTTTTTACATGGAGTCCAATGGTGGAAAGAATGTATAGAAAATGAGAATGTTGAATGTTTAAATTTGATGTGGATCACTAAATTGGAAATTATATTTAAGAAAGCATCAATTGGTAGAATGTGTAATATAATTCATGGAATGGTTATTTAATAATGTGGAAATTTATTTGTTATGTAAATACAAGTTCAAAGCACATTTTGTACTACTTAACACGTGATACAAGTGAAGTGACAAAACAAAACAAAACAAAAAAAAAATACTATAACATACTTTTTCTTCTATACTCTTACATTTATATTAGTAATAGTATTGTTATTAAGGAAATTGTTAAATGATGTCCTAGGTCGAACAATACCATCTTACAGGCATCAAACAAGCAATTCATTAGATGTTTTATAGCCACATTGCCTAGGCAGCCAACCAGGCAGGAATATAGATAAAACACCTTTGTTGGGGCAAATACTTAATTTTGCCCCCTACAGAGCTAGAAATTAAGGATCTCAAATCTTTGCGTTTATGTGTTTTTTCCCTTGGAACTAGGGAGGTTTACAAACATCATGTCATTTTTTTCATTTGCTAATTTGGTTTATGGATTAATAGTTTATAATTAACATGAAATCATTATGTATGTTATCTCTCGTCAGCCCTATGGTGTACATTTTTCAATCAATAAAATTTTATTTTTTGTTTTATCATTATAAAATTTATGTTTTACTTATTCATTTTTCTCTCCCCATAGGCCCAAGGCATTGACTCACCTTACCAGAAAAACATTGTCTAGCTACCTTAGCTACATTTCTTCCTAATTGCATATTTGACTTTTGCCTTCCATGTAAAGCATATCCTTTGTTTCAATTATCAAAAAGTTTCATATATTCAAATTCGAACATTATATTTGTGACTATATTAATATTTTGGCCTTCTTTACTTTTTGTTCATTTTCCCACTAAAAGAAGTTATCTCAACTCAACTAAACCCAATAAAGCCTTGTCCAAATTATATGGGGTCAGCTACATGAATACTGTTTCACCATTCCATTCTATTTAGCGTCATACATTTCTGTTATTAAATTATGGACCTTCAAATCATTTCTCACTACTTCAGCCCATATTTTTTTTGCCTTGTCCCTAGCTCTATTAGATTCTTCAATTAGTAAGAGATCACTTCTTATTGGTGCTGTTGATTGGATTTTATGCACATGACAAAACCAACATAGTCTGCTTCCCCTCATTATATTACCTACCATGCTACTTTGAGGTCCCCAAGTATGTTCATTTCTAAACCTATCTTTTCTGCTTTTCCCATTCATCCATCTCACCATTCAGATCTTTGCTACACCAAAAGGAGTTTTAAATAAAAATCAAATTATAATTATAATCTTATTTCAAAGTCCTGATTTAATTATCTATTATGATATGTAATGGGTTTCCTGTTATGGTTCTACTTGTGTCCTTTTTAATGTTTATAACCAGTGTTTTAAGAGGTTTCTAGACACACACGCAAGGTGCATTTCAGGGCATGTGCCTCAACTGGTGCACTTTTTTAAAATGGCCTTTTTATAGTTTTTCTTTTTTTTAAGTTTTAGCCTTTTATGGTTTATCAACTTCTGAATTTCCTTTTATTGTTATTTGCACACTAGTAATGATCTATTATATTATATTACCTTAAAAAAACAAAAGACAAAGACCTTTTGTATACTTGGAGTTCTAGTTCTTGCAAATAAGATCTCAAACCAAAATACTAATCTTTGTGTCTATGGGCCAAAATTTAGGTTGTTGGCCCAAATCCCAGAATGTACTGGTTTGGTCTTGCCCCAAGTGGTTTTTCTGGAGACAAAGAGCCAATCTCCTAGGATTTGGAATGTGAGATGTTTAACATGACACTAGATACTTGAAATAATACAACTAGGAGATGAATAAATAGATTGAAAATTTCACATACTTCAATTGTTGAGTTCTTGAATCACTTTGTACAATCCACATAGGTTTGCTTTCACTTCTGCATTCTCACTTAGAATGTGTATTTTATGTTATGTTTATCAGTTTATGTATTTTAGTTTGAGCAAATAGGCTTTTCAAAACATTTTATTTCTTACAAACTTCAACTTTTCATGT